AAGTACGGCGAACAGGCAAAGGGCATCTGCAGACTGGAAGGTGCCAATGACAGCAATGAAGGGCTGGCCAGGCGTGCACGTCCATTGATAAAGTGTTAGAACTGGCCATGACCGGCTGTTGTCAAGGCTCTAGTGCCATGCAAAACGATGGCCAGACGAACTCGGAAACCTGTAGTTAGGCGATATTGGCCTACAACTTCATCCAAAGCAAGGCACCGCTGAAATCTTTGCTTTTTTGGGGGGCTGGAGGGAAGCTTGACGTTCACGGGCTCTCGCTGCCACATAGAACTCTCAATTTGTTACCGAAGAACAGTCTAGGCGCGCTTCCAAAGTAACACGATCCACAACAGAATGTAGCATCTCGCAGTTTTGGTTGATCACATCACAGCGCTAGGACTATGGTTATCACAAAAAGGAGAAGTGACGACTTAACAAACAAAAGCGCCAAGCTGCCCCACCACGACTTCGCAGGGCAAAACAGTTATCAACGCTGTCTTTCAAGTTTCGGTCAGACGAGCACAGCTTGTTCACAAATCTTGGAACGTCAACACAGCTCCACTGTTCACAACGAACATCGTTTCACTCCCGAACAGTACATTGCTCTCAAGTAAATAGAAGCGTGCGGGCTAACTAGTGGCGAAGCAAGAACCGAGCGCGTAGTTCGTACGTTTCCGTACGTACTTGGGGTCACTCAAGTAACGTGTCAAAACGCTGTCAATTCTAAATGTCGCACAGCACCAAACTGAGAGACTAGAAAGTCAAGCGAACGAACTGTTACCGGCACACAAACACATATTGCAGGCTTCTCGAGTGCTAGTTGTCGTCGATACATCGACGCCGATCCCCGCTTGATAACCACACCGACGCACAGGCTTCGCTGCGCTTCACCGTACACCATTGCACTGCCACAGCTTTCCGCACTGCTCACACGCACCGAAAGAGCTGCTGTAATCACAACACATCCGGTAAAACGCTGAAGTAACTCGTGCTAGAAGCGTTTGCTGAAAGTCGCACTGACCGATATGCTGTTTACGACACCATGTTGTTTTCGACAACTGCGCAGCACATAGGATGATAAGAGAGCTCTTAGAAAGTACTTGCACTATTTTCACGGCGTGAACAAATTTTCTTTTATGTGCGAGGGGGGTGATATGACGAACAGGACAGGCGTGCCAGATGAAAGAAGTGTTTTGGCAACGTCACGGAGTGAGCTGATGTAAAGGCCATTGCTTCACAACCAATCACAAGCTGTGCCTGTCGGCCAAGCCGTCGTCTGCTCGCGTTTGTTGTCTGCTTCGATCAGAGCATGCGATAGGGGATTCACCTTCGCAACGCTATTATTCTCAGGTTAATTGGTCGCTACGTCGCACAAAATACATGTCAGTGGCTCGCTCTACCTTTGAATGATGTTCGTGCGCCAAGTTAAATGGCTGGTAATTGACGCAGGGATGAATTCAGCCAAGGTTTGCTCTAGAATCGTGAGGGTTTGCATATTTTTGGTGTCATACAAAGTTACTAGGGTCATTTCATTCCGATTGCTTGCCGTAGTATCACGGTTCATATCGGTGTCTGAACAGTGAAGGTGAAGATGCATGATTTGTTTGTAGTTCCATGCGTAATCATGCGCACCCCTAATACGCTTTGGTTTACAAAGTACGCTTTGTTCCAGATCGTTCCAAAGTGTATCGACAGCTGTATTTCAGAGATCGCAACCATTGGACAGTTAGAGCCAATGAAAGTACACTAGAGCACAAACTTTAGGAACCACTCACTGAAAACTTCCTCTCATTTTTATTTCTAATAGCGTGCAAAGAATGTGCTCCCATTAACCTCTTTGGTGGTAATTTCTACCAATGAGGCAAGGATCTCGAGTCGCACTTTTAATTGGATGAGATGGGGCGCAACACAACAACATAACAAATAAGGTTGATCCTATGCCATGTCGTGTTCGAATGCACCGACCATTCACGTATCACATTGGTTTTCATCCAACCACAAATTTTTACATGCGTAGTTTTACGCCATTGACGCCCAATAGAATTCTTAAATTACTGCGACTTCGAACTTATTGGACGATGGTGGTTGTCAATACCATCCACTGCGTACAAGGGAAACAACACGCGAAGCTCAAAGCGCCGAAAGAAATAAAAACGCACCAGCAGTCATCAGGCAGCCCTTGATGGGCGTGAATTAACTCAAAACCAGCCAGGGCACCAAAGTATACCGCTGCGGCAGCAGGTTCTAAGTAGCCACATTGTTCCTAAGAGTGGTCCGGACCACTCTTGGGATTTTCTCTCAGCCATGCTGTTTTTACGCACAATTTCGCTTCGTGAATCCACTTACGAGCACTTTTCGGTGACGTAAGCAAATATAGCAACTGCATCACCATCGCTGACATGTTCCCGGGCAGTCACAGCGCGCTTTATTTGCAGCGGCCGATGTGACAACTATGGCCTCTTACGACGTTTTTTCGTTTCGTGAATCGACTTACGCAAGAAAATTTCTCTTGCGCAAAAATGTTTTCGTAAGTGAGTTTTGTGAATCCGGGCCCTGTTTTATTTTCCATGGTGGTAATTTTCGTGGTGATTCAGCTAAATAAATTCAGATAAATAAATTCTAGACATTGCAGAAGATCTTGGAATGTGTTTGGGTTTCTTAACTGAACTTGTCTGTGGATATCGCCACAAAACCCTTGTATAATAAAGCTACAATTGCCATGGTGAAAGCTTAGGCTCCGCTTTGTACAAAAGGCGCCGTTTTTTAAGAAAGTAGTCTAGTAATGAGCCACATTGGTAGTTAAATTGCAAAGCAACATTCCAACATTCCACATTGGTGCGATAGAAAATGGACAAAAAAAATTATTTTCCAGTGACGCCAACATGCTGGTGGTTCAAGTAGGAGCTGCATGTCGTACCACTTTCTAGCTGCACCACCTAGATAGCGCCGCAAATTCTCAATTTTCTGGTCATCAGAGATCAAATCATTTTTTAAATGCACATTCATAAAACAAAAGGCAGTAGTTAGGGCTTGCGGAGCTTTACTCGAAAATATCTGGTTCCACTACTTTTCTTTGGTGGGCGTGCAGTCTGAGTGCATTTGTCGGAAATTCAGTCTGCTGCATAATCCGTCGTTGCTTTCCTTGGATGAGATTCATGATAATGCTCACCTTCACCGAAGTTTTCTTTTGAACGGTGCGTCGGCGCAAAGGCTCCGACACCCAGTCCACGAGCACTTCGATCGGCAAATATAGATTGTCGGATCCTATCTTCATGGCAGAGAAGTTCTTCATGGCTGATTGAAGCTCCTTGCAGCACACATTCGATGAGGTCAGCTGTTGTAACACCACGGGCAAGGTTCTTTGCTGGCTCACCTTGCACTTGGTAGCTGGTGAAGCTTAGTCCAATGGACGACGTCCGTTCAAGGATGAATGTCACCCATTTGTTCGCTTGACGGCTGCGCTGAAATGTAGCGTGTCCTGAAGGTAAATAGCTTATACATTGAACAACAGAGAGATGGATGTCATCCGCCATTTATTTTACTTCTCTCGACCTAATCTTCCTCTTCATCTTTGCTGTGCTCTTGCCCTTTCGATGCTTCATTCACGGACCAGTTCATTCTGTTTTTATCCACGTGGCTCTAGCTTGGCTTATGCTCGACTAATACGTTAGGTGCGTGGCAATGCTTTGTTATGACAGCTAGTGACCTTTCAATAGTGGACAAGTGAGCTGCAATGGCAGCAACACGCTGTCCATCTTATAGGGTATATGGGTGCATTTGAATGTGGGAGCTTTAGTAAGCACCGGCAGTAGACGTGACGGTGATTGAGAAACAGCTTTCAGATTCTAAACAGCTCTTCGACTAGAATATTTAACGCTGTCCCTCCGTGCGTCCATACGCACGCACCATAACGCTCTCACCTCACCGCAGTTGTTGGAGAGGTGCCAAGTAGGTCACGCCGCAACAGCGCGTCGATGTGAAGCTCCCCTCGCACTGCGCGCGGACGTCACTCTCTCTCACCTGCCGCACCCTCACTGCTGCGGCCGCCGCTGCCACCTCGTCCGTTCGCCCACAACGCCTGCTGCTACCGTCATTCGACGCGCTGCCACGACCGCCACTCATTACACCGCCGACTCGTCGGTTCGCGCGTATTATACCTAACACGCACCTAACGTATACGTTGAAACATGTTTGTACGTGTCACCTCTGTTTCTCGCTTCACTCTCTCCGCCACTTGCAACGCTCGAGAGCACATCAAGTTGTAAAACGTTTTCATCTTGTTTATCTGTGATGGAAAGGATGCAAAAAGACGACGCTCCTTCGCCCGCCGAAACATCCGCCGCAGCGATTAGACCTAACCCGGCCGTTTCCCTTGTTCAACCATCACATTTCTGTTGTAGTTAAAGGGGAACGCGTGCCAGCTCCAGCCGAGCACCCGTGTTCACTCTGAAGAAACGACAAGACCTACGCCAATCATCGCTTCGAACGAATCTTCGACCGCTAATTGCAGCACCGCGTTAGCACCGTTCAATCCGGCACGCCACCCGTGCTCAACGCTGCTGCTTCGCAACCCATAAGGGTTCCCTTTGTCTAGATAGAGGGAATTTTTTTACCGGTTGGTGTCGCATGGCACGCAATCCTATAAAAGGCAGGCAGCTGGGCAATAATATTTGGCAAACTACCTGAAAGCATGAAAGCTGCCACAAGGAGACGCTCGCTATTATTGAAAGAAGTCCAATAATAAAGGCTTGTTTTTGTTTGTCAGATACGGTATTTTTGATAATTAACAGACAACACTGCCGAGAAACGCATACGAGACGTTGTTTGCTGACATTTGCAATACATATATAACTAATGACATCCCTTATACTTTCCTTCGCAAGTTTTACGGGTAATTTTACATAATTTCCTGAGTTCAGAGCTTGCGCTGCTATTTTGTCACCGTTCTTATTTTTCACATTGCAGAAAACTCTGCGCTAATCGCTGTATCAAATACTCCACAGGGCTGCTTGGCATCTGCCAATGGCCGGCTAGGGCCCTTGGCTCGAGCCCGGGTGCGCTTCATTTCGTGGCTCGTGCTCGTGGTGGTGGCTGGCGCGTGCACTTTGGTGTGCCTGGCTAGCTCGGTGTGGGATGTTCGCAGCTACATGCAGTACCGCACAACTGTGCAGTTCGAGCAACAGCCACTTTCGGGTATTGCGTTCCCAGCTATGACGGTCTGCAACGAAAACGGGTAAGCAAATCTATACCGTTCTAGTATGTGAAATGACACCACAACTGCAAGTGCAGGAAGCTTGACTTAATAGTTGGCTTCAAGGAATACAGAACGTTTCAAAGAAAAACCACTTTTCGTGGCCTGATATATAAATCTTACTTTTAAAAAAAAATGTGAAAGGAGGTTGTTTCGCTCTTTATTTATATTAGAAAGAGCCTGGGTTTAAGACATTGAAAAGCGTGCTGTAGACACCTAGACTGCGAAGTTTTCATGCCGATTTCTTCCCAGTAGGTGAACGTCTTGGGACGACTACAACAAACAAAAGAAAAGCCATGAGCGCATCGCATTTTCTTGTACTATTCGCTCTCCTTTTCTCTTGTGGCTTTTCACTATTTCGCATTCGTAAGCTGTCAGAGCCGTTCCTCAGCGTCGTGGCGCTAGCAACGTTCGATGAAGCCTTAGCGCTAATAAGACTGGGATCCCAAAAAGTGTACAAAAGGTACGTTTTGTCCTGTTGTGGTTCCTGTCTTCTCAGCACTCTGGAATCACTCAAAGTAAGAAGCGAACTAGCCGAAAAGTCTGTTCCGATGGCAGTGTTGGCAGGTTTCGTATAGTAAAATTGGTTTTGGTGTTGACCTGTGTGAGCTTTCTATGTGGCTCTATTTGGGCTACTGAAAATAGCCGACTTGGCTTTCTTTCAGCTATAAGTGGAGCCATCAACGCTTTAGAGGCGACTCTCATCGAGCAGAAACAAATATCAAGAGGCGTTTTCACATTTGCTTTTCCAAAGGGTTGAAAGTGGCGAAATACGCCCAAAACACAAGGTTTTCACTTTGCGTGGTAAACTGTGCAATGAGCATCATTGCTTTATTATGGTGTTTCGCCTCGGCGAGAACGTAATGCCTTTCCGCCTCTCCGGAAGCCGTACTTTTGCTATACAAGCATATGAACCCCGTTATATCAGGCCGCCATTCCAGACTCCAGGCCAAGAAGTCGGATATGTGTAGGCACAAGCAGACTTGTGTTTATTGGAGCTTTCAGCAATTTTGCAGATTTCTTAGAGGTAATTATATTTTCACAGTTTTCATGGTAAAACATGGATAGGTTTGTACACTCTGAAAAATAATATGCATAAAGCTTTTCTGAGGGTTTTGACGTGTGACGTATACGACTGTCATTAGATATCCATGGTCACCTTCTTGGTGGGTCATAGTCGGCCGGCTCTACAAGAGTCACCTGACCCTCTTAGAAAGTGTGAAAGTAATATTTGAGAAAGGATAACACTACCACTTCCGAGGATGTCAGGCGACTCTTGCCAGTTACACTCTCATGTGAGCGAAGTGACACCCAGGAAGCGTCAAGCGAACCTACAGCAATTTTAGCTAACTCAGTGGACCCATGCTTTACTTTGGCACGATTACTTTTAGAAATAACGCATTATACTTTGTAAGTCCCTCCAGTATTACCTGCCGTTATGTCTAGCTATAGCGAAAAAATATTAGTTCGATTTCAGCTTTATTTTAAAGAAACCTATCAAAACCACTCACCATTTCGAGTAGAGTTATACGGAAAGCATGAGAAGATGGCGTGTTAACTCTAGTCAAGCAGTTCAGGTATTTTTTATTTGCATGATTGTATGAGTAAAGCTAAACAACATAATTTTTATGTGCATTATGCGAAGTCTTGCCAAATGAACTGCAGATATCAGCGTTTTGTTTCCCTATTTATTCCATTCATTATGAATAAATTGTGACAGCTGGAGGAATAACACACGCGGTTTGCTATGCTGTCACTCATAGAATGAGTAGCCATGAAAGAATAAAACCGAGAAAGAAGAACGTGATATATTGATAAAAAATTAAATAGTTAAGAGCTTGCAAAAGGCACACCATGAGTGATTTACGCAGACATAATTAGGCCTCAGAACAAAATAGCAAATGCCGACTGACATAGTAAGCAACCATGTTTTTTGTGCTTTTGTTAAAAACAGAACGTCTGAATAGTAGCTTTTATAACATGTGACTTGGTGGCAAACATGCAGCACAAGACCACGTAAGCTTCTTCAGCCTAAGAAACATAAGTGGTATAGGCTGGATTGAATAGATGCCACAAGCCTTTTTTTCTACGTAATCTTGTCCAGCCAAAGGAAATGCTTTACCGGCTCCTTCGTCGGCTGAGTGAACGCTGCTGTTGATATTCGCACCAATAGTGGGAAGGCGCGAGAAGCGCCACCTTCGTTAACCCGAGTGTGGTTGTGAGCTGGAGTGGAGATGCTGGAGAAGCGATCCGGGAATACGGAAATAACCAACACACAAACACATAAATTCTGGCTAATTCCATTCGGCCATATTTATTTCAACGCACCCTTATGATACACACGCAGCTGCCACGAGTTCAATGTTTTCAATATTTCGAAACTAAAAAATGTATTCACGTAAAAGAACGCGGACGCCTCGCTTCACTATAGGCACTGGCTAGCTTGAATGAAAGCACCAGTTCTTATTTTAGAAATTGCTTCTAAATTTAGTTTCTAACTAATCCCCCGGCATATTCTGACAACGGAACTTTCGTAGTCAGGTGGATTAGTGGCACGCTATGAGCGGTTAAGCACCACGTGTTTCACAAAAGTAAAGCATTTTTCAATACTGAGCAAGTGCGCATACGAGCACTACTAATACACTAACGCACGCAGACGCCGTCTACATTTACGTCAGACACGGCACATGCTATAAGTACCGAATAAATCTCCCCCATGCATACTCACTCCATTCTGGTATAACGCCAAACATTGCATATGTGGTGTGGAGGGGGTAGTAATTCCTAAAAATGCAACAGAATAAAACGTCAGCCCAAAACTATCTGCATCAATGTGCGACACCTCAGAAATGACGCGAAATGCAAGGGATAATGACGGAGTTAAAAGAGATAGAGAGAAAACTAACGATTGAGACGAAAGTAAAAGTATGGGAGATGGTTCGAAAAATACATTTTATGGACGAGGCTCCAATCGACTAGCAGTCGTCTGAGAGCGGTCGCCTAAGAGCAGTCGTCACCACAAATGAGGGAACCTTGAGCCACGGAATCCACCGAGCGTCTTCTGGCAGATGTAAGGAAAGCACGAAAACACCTATAACTGAAACGAGGGAGAATGGCGAAGGGTGGCGGCTGCAACAGTGCGCGCTGTGAAAACTAGCTTGTCCCCGTACCGGCGGGACGTGTCCTAAACATCTTAAAATACTGCGCGTACTTCTATGGCGCTTTGCCTTCACCTCAAACTACCATATTTGGGCCATAAAAAGTCATTATATGTAGCGCGTCTAAGCGTACTGCACAGTACTCACGTATTGAAGTAGGACACTCGGAACGCGTCGCCGCCGGCACAAATAGCGCAGCTCGCGGGTGGTCGTGGAGCTAAAGTGTTTCATTGTGGTATGGTGTGAGAGGGAGAACAACTAAAGGGCACCATTGCTGCTTCCGGTCACAAACGCGCTGGCCTATAGTTAACCATGTGCACACTGTCAGTGTAGCGCTGTTCAGCTAGCGCACTTTCTCATACTGACCAGTATGTCTAGTCGCGGTACAGTAATATTGTGGCGCGAACAGACGACGCTCTCGTTCTTTGCCTTTCAATGTTTTAACACGCGCGCTCTGTAAATAATGAACATAATTCAGCTTAAAGATTTGGCTCGGAGTTCTCACGCTCCAAGGCACGCTGCACACTGTAGTATTGATGAAAATAATAATGTGGCCTAAAATATTGCTCAAATGAAAGCGGTATCGAGCACCTCCAGCAGTGGTAACAACTTCTGCGATCCTAATCACCTGTGATAAGTGATTTCATTTCTTATTTTATAAGGAATGCAGTCACTTACACAACATGCGTATAGTGGTCTAAAGTAGTTATTCACAGTTTGAATTGGAATACTTCAACAGGCCCTTGGGCATAGGACACTGCTGAAAAATGCAGGCAGACTACATCCGCTGGGATGCTGTAGAAGCCCAGAGCTACCACCTAGTACTTTAGGGGGAGGAGGAATAGAGGGCCTCAATCGAATCACCTATCTTCTCTGTAGCCATTTTGTGGTTGTGATATATTTTTACCACCACAATTTTCGTCTTCTACGTGAAATGCCTTGTTCCAGCTTCACCCAGTACTTCTCTACAAGCAAAATTAGCAAATATAGTCGCGCAATAACGTGAAATTCCTCCACAAACACGGAAGCTACTCAACAAGCATAAAGACGTCGCTGCGATAGGAAATGACGCGACGTTACAATTCATTCCGGAGATAATGTCTTACTATGGTCACAGATTCTAGTGTCAGCACTCTGCGAGAAATTTCTTCGCTGATACACCGTTCAACGACATACTTCTCCAGTGACGAATCTTGGCACCCCACTTCAGTCTGTCATTGACCACTGTCGTCGGAGCATGAAACTTATTCACGTGTCACGCATGAAGCCTTTCCTTACTCGTGCAGCTTATCTTTGAGATGCGGCCAGGTCGCTTTGAAAAACGAGGAATTAACTGCAAGCACATTTATCGTTCATCGTTTCCAATTGTGCATAACCGTCATCACATCTACTTTTCTTTATTATTTGGGCTGTACACTGGTGCACAGACCATGCAATGAACGGTTCTGGTGGCCTTGCCTGGTCTAGTTTCCCTGCGTGTCCCGTTTGATAACCACCGTTAGATGGTGATTATCAACAGGAACACGCACCACCACCAGGAGATGACGTCATCACTAACCCTTTTAGAGCTAACACGCCAAGAATGACACGGCACCTTTAAAAAAAAAATAGGTCCTCCTATCAAAACCTCAGCCAGCCAGTCTGAGGCACTTCCGTCGTTAACAGTGACTATCGAAGATGTATTGCCTTTGCAAGCGCGTCGATGAATTTCTGGCCAAAAACATTAAAATAAAGCACAAAATTAAAGGAGTTGACGAAGATACCTAACAGGTGCTCGTCAAGAAATCCACAAACTGTCATCGACGTTGTCCAGCTCTGTCAGGAGTAC